CTGTCTAGTACACCTAAGTTCAAAAGATAAATTAGATAAAATTCAACAGCAGTTCTGTAATCAAAATGTAAATTGCATATTCTACGCAAAGAGAATGGTAATAATCTGTTCCAGACACTTCAAAACTTCAGAAAAAGTTTCAGCTACAAAGATGTCTGTTCCTAAGAAGTTAGCGCCCAAGATAGCAACAGGAATCCCTACGATTCCCACTTCCAAGTGGCAACCTATTGGTCGTTTTCAGAGGATGACATGGATTGGCTCAGACTACAGCAGTTATGGCTCACCACCACCACCACCACTTGATAAATCCACGAAGGCATTCTGTGGCAAGAGGTAAGTGTTAGACAGCTTTGGTACTGACCGATAGATAATTTTAGACCTCAGTATTCATGACTTAATGAAAAACATTTTAACTAGTATTTTCATTTTACTTTACAGCCATAGACTTTTCACACCTCCAGGCAGTAGTGTTTTGTCAGAGCATGATTCTGATAGCTAAACCTAACTAGAAAGTGTGATGTTACTGGAGTGAACAAGTCTCCCTGAGAACACTTAACACCCACCATTGTCTGCGAACATGCAAGGGTTTAGGATTGGCTCGTTTGGAGAGTCCAACTCTGACAGGCCTCTGGGGCACTGATGGAGCTCTTGAATTTTCACAAGTCCTGTAAAAGTATAGTCCTTAGAACATTTCACCAAATTTGTTATTTTAAATTGTTTGAGAGAGAAAAGGAGAATTACCTTTCATTTTCAATTTGATGATTGTTATAATTTACGGCTTTCAATGATGGTTCCACTGAAGACCACTTGAAAAGGGATTTTTTGAGATGAGATGAAGTATTTAAACTGCAACCTCCTATACAATAAAAGTGTTTTGTTATAAAAGGTATAATAAATCTGTTAATTGGATTAAAAGTTTGTGATTTCAGGGATACTTTACCAGTAATATCTAGGTTTGCCTGTCCTGGTACAAGTTGATCGGTAATTGATATGCTAGAAAATTGTGCCTCACAATCAGATCCATCTTCATGACAGTCACAATTTACTAATTCTGATTTCTGTGCACAACTCTGCTCCATAGAAAAACTGTTGGGCTGATTTTGGATCTCAAAACTGTCCATTCCATTGATTGAATCACAGCTTTGGACTTCAGAGAATAATGGGGTAAAATTTTCCTTGTTTTCCACACTTGTGGTTTGAGAGTTCTGAGCTCTTAGCTTTTCCCTGCCAGTTGTGACAATCGTCTTGAATTGTTGGTACCATTGCTCCCAGCTCTTCCGAGTTCTCTTGGTGGCTGGATCATTTTCTCTTTTAAATTGAGCTTTCCGTTTCAGTGGAGCACATTGTGTCAGGGAAAGGGCATCAATGTCTCTATTTGGAGATGATGAAGAGGAACAGGAACCTGTAGGCTGCTCATGGACATCATCTATCAATGGTTTGGAATTACCAGACATACATTCATCATCTTCACTCATATGATTAGGCTCAACCACTGGTGAAAGATTAGGTGGTTCTTCATCCTGGCTGCCACTTGCTGCTCCATAGTACTTAAATCGCCTAAGGGTCTCAGCCTCAATATCAACGACAAACTCTTCTTCTTTACTAACTTCAGAGAGTCTTTCTTCTGCAGCTGGTAGAGCTTGATCTCTCATGAAGTAGTGGTTGCAGTCCTGCATTTCTGAGAGTGAATCCATTGTTGACAAATGTTTTATTCTGGCTGATATCAAATCTCCTAGTTGCCCATTACTTCCAGACTCAATATTGATAATATCTTTGAAGGGGTCACCCAATTTAGGAAGTTTGCTATACATTAGATCATCTAAACCATCTTGCTTTGAGGATACGTGGCTGGGTTGAGAAAAGTCTGGAAGATCATCCGCAAACAAATCAGTTGACTCATTGAATGCACCAACAGTGGGATGACCAGGCACAAATAAGTCATCACATTCTTCTGGTTCAATTAAAAGGTCGGAAAAACTAGGTGGTCTTCTGGAGCAATTTTCATCAAGTATTACTGGTAATCCCAAACTACAAGACTTTTCAGGAGAGGACTCCATAGAATGTACCTCCGTTTTTTGGTAAAGACGACTGCTTTTTTCGAGCATCTGCGGACGGCATGCGTCACGATTGTTCTCCTGCTTCTCCTTCAGAACGCCTTCCCGGGCAGAACTTCCTGCTAAAACGACATCGTGACCTTCCTGTACCAAGGGACCTCCGTCGGTGTGGGGGCTTTCGTCATGGGAGTCTTCTTCAGAACAGAAACTTTCCACGGCGTCGTGTTTCGGTTGTGCACAAGTTTCTTTGTCGGCACATTTTGCCCCAGCAACACAACTTTCGTGTAAGCTAGGGTATCCGTCGGCATACTCACCGACTACGCCGCAGTCTTCGTGGACTTCGCAAAGTTCTCCATTGGCGTGCTCTCCGACGACGACGCGGCCGTCTTGAACGCAGGCGTCTCCGTCGGCGAGCTCCACCCCAACGACGACGCGGTCCTCTGGTACGCAGGCGTCTTCGTCAGCGTCGAGCTCCAATCCAACGAGGGCGCGATCCTCTTCGTCGGATTGCCCCATCTCGCGGCGCGCTAATGAGCAGCAGGTGTCTACATCGGCATGCTCGATCCCATCGACGACGAGGTCCTCTTGTACGCAAGCGTCTCCGTCGGCGTCGTGCTCTAGCCCAGTGAGGGTGCGGTCCTCTTCTGTTGAGATATCTTCGTCAGAGTGTTCCATCCCGACACCGCGGCCCGCTTGTGAGCAGGCGTCTTCGTCGGCATGCTCGACCCCAACGACGACGCGGTCCTCTTCTACGCAGGCGTCTCCGTCGGCGTGCTCGACCCCAACGACAACGCGCTCCATCCTCCGGACGGCGCGATCCGCTTGTGAGCAGGCGTCTACGTCGGCATGCTCGACCCCAACGACGACGCGGTCCTCTTGCTCACAAGGGTCTCTGTCGGCGTGCTCCACCTGAACGACGTCGCGGTCCTCTGGAGCACCGTCGTCTCCATTGGCGCCGTGTTCCATCTCAACGAGGGCGTGGTTCTCTTCGTTGGCGTGCTCCACCCCAACGACGCGTACCGCTGGTGAGCCTGTCGTTTCAGTGTTGGCCTTTTCCCCAATTAGGTCAGTCGGATTTTCTCCAGTGAGGGTAATTGCCGGATGGTCACAGTCCGTGGAGTCCTCGACGCTGAGGTCGGTGAAGGCGCGAAGGAAACTGTACTTTTCAACCTTCTTCGAGCTATCGCTCCAAACCATGTAGTCCGCCACCAAGCCAGGGGGCACTGGGTCAGCGATGCGAACATCCTTCTGAACGTCCCCCTCGAGGCTGTCCGGTGTCGTAACCACGACTTCATCGTCGGAGCAGGCTGACTCCGCCTCCACCTCAATCACATCTCCGACACACATCAGAAAGTAATCGTGATCTTGATCGTTCCTACGAGCTGCCTTCTCTATATCGAGAGCACGGACCCCTTCGACTAGTCGGGGGTTTGAGTTAATCTCCCCCGACATGGTGCTGGAGGAGTCATCCGAGAAGGTCTCGAGGTCCTCGTCCGTGGGAAAGTCATCGCTGTTAAAGCCAGAGAAAGTAAATGTCCCTTTAGAGGACAGGCTCTTATTGCGACCTGGAGAACAAGCCTCGTAGCGAAGGGGGGGCGAGCGAAGAGGGGAGCGCCTCAGAAAAAGGGAAGTCCGCGGGTGCTGTGGTGAGTTCTGGGAGCTCTGAGATGAGCACTGAGTGGACTGCTGGGAGTTTAGAGAGAAGCGCCGAGTAGATTGCTGCGAGCTCTGAGAGGAACGCCGAGGGGTCTTATGAGAGTTCTGGGAGGAGCTTCGTGGGGACCGCTGGGAGCTCTGAGAGGAGCGTCGAGGGCTCTTCTGGGAGTTCTGGGAGGAGCTTCGCAGGGACCGCTGGGAGCTCTGAGAGGAGCGTCGAGGGGTCTTCTGGGAGGAGCTTCGCAGGGACCGCTGTGAGCTCTGAGAGGACCGTCGAGGGGACTGCAGGGAGTTCTGAGAGGAGACCCTAGAAGGCTGCTCGAGCACGTTTTGAGACGAGCGTTCAGGAGTGTGCGCAGGCAGCCACGGTGAGCGCCCGATGCACGCCGACTGCAGCGTAAACCTCGGTTTGGCCTTGGCGTTTTGCGGCGAGGGAAGCTCTTGGGACCGCGAGCGCATCGCTGACAGCAGTGATGGGTCCTGCGGCGAGCGCAGCGGCGGCAAGGGTTGGGAGCAGAGCACTGCTGGTGGCTGCAGAGAGGGATGCCGTGGTGATGGTGAGCGCTCTGGTAGCTGTTGCGACGCAGGATCGGTCGGAGGACGCAGGGGAGAGCGCACTGGCGACTGCGAACGGTCGAAAGCACACTTGGATGCGGAGAAGACTTCCTCGTCACTGGAGAGGCCGCCCTGCTTCTCGCGGCCACCTTGAACAGCGTAATTCATCATGAAACATCACGGGGGGGATGCCGAGCGCGTGGGGGG